CTCCAGTTAGTATAGTTCATAGCTAGACAGGTATTACTGTTACAAGAAACTAGCTCCTGTTAGTATAGTTCATAGCTAGACAGGTATTACTGTTACAAGAAACTAGCTCCAGTTAGTATATTATGTAACTGTACATTGAGTACTCTATTAATAGATTATTAAAAAATAAAATGTTGGTAAACAAGACTCTTTATTGGAAACCAAAAACTTATTGGACAAGTCATTTTTAAAGTAACGAATTAGTATAAATTTTTTATTATAGTGGAAATTGTAGATAGAACAATAGTTTGGTTACATAAACATGTCATAAAATCTAGAAGCATCCATTGTAAAGTTAACGAAAGTTTGATGATGCTATTCGGCTAATGACAAAACTTTCACACCTGTAAAAGAATATATAAATGTTTCAGTCAATACATGTAGAAAGAACTTAATATATGTTGTTTAAAACTTCACAAATTAAATAATATGTTTATTGCAATAAGCTTAAAAACAAAAAATATGTTAAACTTTTATAAATTTTATGATTTAGAATATAAAAGCATACAGATGTAAAGGTAGGTTGAGATGTAAGTACACTGAAAAGCATCTTTGATAGTTGAGATGCAGTGATGTTGAAGAGTATCTTACCTGTAAGTTTGATGGTTGAAATGTAGTGATACTGAAGAGTATCTTACCTAAAAGTTTGATGGTTGAAATGTAGTGATATTGAAGAGTATCTTACCTGTAAGTCTGATGGTTGAGATGTATTGATACTGAAAAGTATCTTACCTAACAGTTTGATGGTTGAGATGTAGTGATATGAAGAGTATCTTACCTGTAAGTTTGATGGTTGAGATGTAGTGATATTGAAAAGTATCTTACCTGTAAGTTTGATGGTTGAGATGTAGTGATATTGAAGAGTATCTTACCTGTAAGTTTGATGGTTGAGATGTAGTGATATTGAAAAGTATCTTACCTAACAGTTTGATGGTTGAGATGTAGTGATATTGAAGAGTATCTTACCTGTAAGTTTGATGGTTGAGATGTAGTGATATTGAAGAGTATCTTAGCCTTAAATGTGATGGTTGAGATGTAGTGATGTTGAAGAGTATATTACCTGTAAGTTTGATGGTTGAGATGTAGCAATGTTGAAGAGTATCTTACCTGCATGTTTGGTGGTTGAAGAAATTCCCTGTGGAGCAATCTGTCGAGTTTTTACATTTGCAGGCACAGTCTCTTGAATCCCAGATCTGTTTGTTGGTACAGGTTCCAGCTATATTTGAGTTGATACAAACACACTGACACAGGTTGTGCTGGTACGTTTGTAAGTTTGTACAGTCAGACGGCTTCTGTTTACATTCACACGAACATTTGTCATGTTTCTCTATGCCTATTACTTCAAAATTCTGAAACTGGAACATTTCAGCGCCAACTTCAGGATACCTGGCCTTCAATACCTGTCATAATATGCCAACATAACAAAGACCTATGTTTTATAGTTTCATCAAATTCTAGTATGTTTTTATAGTTTCATCAAATTCTAGTACGTTTTTATAGTATC